GAATCCCTTTTCTAATGAATTATCGCAATAATGTACGCAGCAGGACATTGAAATAATTCAAAATGCTAAATTTTGGCGGTCATAAAATTTCAAAGTGACAGTGACAGACAATTCGGAATAATTAAATAAAGCGGGCGGCACGACTATGGTGTTTCGTCACATTGTCAGGTGGGCAAACCAAATGAAACAAAATATCAAAAACCCCAACGGCTGTCAGTTTTGTGTCCGGACTCTTGTCTAAGGTATATACAGGGACTCTAGAACCACCATATTTCAGTGAAGGGATAAGTCACCCTGTCAGCGTGACACACCCCAACTTTGAAATGTCAAATGGCACTATACCTCTGATACCTCGAATGAACGGTCTCAGTCAGTTGTATTCACCTGTACAAGACTCATTTTCCACCAACTACAGAAAACATAAATTCGAATAAAATAAAATGCAGAATGCCGATATATTCCAAGAGATGTGTTCCAAAATGTTAGAATGGCATTTGAACATCGATTATACTATTGCTCATAACAAAATGGAATGCATTTTGAACATCTGATCAAATAAAATATCCTTTCAACACAATCGAAACTAGCTGAACATCCTTACTGAAGACGGACAACATATGGCAGAGTGGAATAATATTAAAATCATTGGAGAAGAAGATAACAACCAGATGAGAAAAATCAAGGAATTTGCTTGCATTCTTCTGAACGGAGACAATAGCATTGCTTCTTGTTCAGTTGATATAGACAGAACATGGTATTCACTACTAAAATCTGAACATGAAAATGGTAAATTCAAGATTAATTAATGAAAACATCCTGTGACTCATTTGATTGCCAACGTCACCAATTGTCATTGAAAACTGAAAAGCTTCAAGACATATTATACGACTTCGCAATTGAAAAAATCTCTTTTCATGTTGAAAACGGGAGCAGAATCGGTGCCGAAACGTCCAAAGATAAGTGGAAATCTGATATTTTTTTTATATACCTTTATTTCTCTTCTCCAAAAATTTTTCAATACAAATTGTCACTGACAAGCTAGTGAATTTTTCTTTTAGGCTCTCTGATAGGAAAATTCTTTAAACGCAGTGACATTTTGGGGCAAATCATCTGATTTGTCCTTAGTAGGTACACGTATATTGAAATAATATTCATATTTTTATTTTATAGAAACGAGGAGAAAAAATCCCAAAAAATTTGGAATAATGAATGTACCACCTCTCAAGATTAATTAATGAAAACATCCTGTAACTCATTTGATTGCCAACGTCACCAATTGTCACTGAGAACTGAAAAGTGTCAGGACAAATACGAATTTGCCATACAAAAAAAAAACATTGTTTATGTTGAAAACGGTAGCAGATTCGTTCCCGAAACGTCCAAAGAAAAGTAAAAAATTTATATTTTCTCTATATACCTCTATATCTCCTCTCCAAACCTTTCTCAATATAAATTGTCACTGACAAGCTAGTGAATTTTTCTTCTAGGCTCTCTGATAGGAAAATTCTTTAAGCGCAGTGACATTTTGGTGCAGATCATCTGATTTGTCCCAACTACACGTATATTGAAATAGTATTCATATTTTTATTTCATAGAGACGAGGGGAGAAAATCCCAAAAAAATCTGGAACAATGAATGTACCACCTCCTCGATTAACCTACTGACCGGATTCTATAGTATGCCTTCAAGATCTGTGAAGTTGTCGGTACTTCTGTGTATATTATGAACTGAGCATCGAGTAACTGATTTCCAGTTTTTTCACGATCCGAAACAGCACACACTGTATGTGGAAGTATAAAAATCTCGATGGTCACCTGGCATGCTGCCTGTGCGGTGTGTATATATGTAGGTATATGATTATTTATTGAACACTGCGGTCATGGTAATCAATATACAAAAAACATGTTTCAAATTACTTCTCGGCACAACATGATAATTTTCTCCAACCAACCCATTTATTTAATGCAGAAAAAAATAGTTGTTTTTCCATACGCTGCCTTACTGCCTGCCACAAAATAATAATTGAAACTAAATTGATAGCCAGTATGGTCTTTTAATTATAACCCTCGGTATATCTCTCGTAATTAAATTAGTTCGGAGATGCTCATTTTCTGATAACCTTCGCTTAATTTTGCTACATAATTTTGTTGGAGCATGCTGGGTGCTTTACTCCGATTTTTTTAGAGAACCCAATAATTATTTTAATGAACGAATTCACTGATTGATTTGGTATGTTTCATAACGATCAAAACCGAAGTGGATATTTTGTAGATCGTGAAAAAGAACTGATTCTGAGGATACATTGACCAACGACATTTTGAACGATAAATTCTAGAAGCTTATTCAGTATCGATGGCGTTAAAGAAAAATCTGGGGACATGGAAATTATGAATTTGGTGAATGTTGGTAACAGTATGTTGATGTTCTGTAGCTAAAAATGCGCGAAACTCATTAAAAGTTGGAAAGAAGGTAATGTTTTTACATAGGTATTCCGATTTTGCTATTATTAAGGAGTCCAGATTTCGCCCTGTGATTGCAAATATTGTGAGACTTGGATGGATTGAATAAATCAACAAGAACACTACTTTGAACTCGACTTTATTTCAAGAGCCCATCTGCAGGGTTATTCACCGAAAGCTCACCTCATACTACATCACAAACTCATTTTTTAAAATGAAATACCCTGAATATCTACCAATTTTGGGACCCAATTCCATTCGGAGCTTTACAAAGAATTTCTATACACAAGTTCATCAGCAGTTTTCTAGGCAATGAAAAATATTTGATAGACTTGTTTTTGGGATTGCATCTTTTAGTTAGGTACCGTGGTGACTTTAACCCAGCGTCGCACAGCTGGGGTCTGACAGACCCGAACAAATTTCAAATCAACTTTATTTCCATCTGAATGTACGCATGTTTCATTGGTTGCCTATAGCTTTCCAAAACACTTCATTCTGTGATATTCTGGCGCGAATAAAGTCTTGAGTCAGCTACCAAGATAGTGACAATGCAGTAAACAGCTTTGGGGTCTGAAAACTTACACCAGTGTTATAAATATGTACATTTTATTCTGAGAGATAAATGTGAATTCCCATCAGAAGAGTGGCCATATTTTGTTATTTTCATGCTACTTTTCTAGCTGATAAAGAAAATTTGCAGAATTGGTTTTACAAAGTCTTACAGAATTGACTGTTTTTCAACAGTTTTCAGAGTTAAAATTTTTTTCTTGTGGGAATTTCGACACTTATATGTCTTCAATGAGATCACCTGGAAGGGAGACTACCGGTTTCTCAAATAGCACAGAGTGTGTCAGGGCACAGTAGAGAGCTTCTGTAAGCTCTCTACTGTGGTCAGGGGTAGCTGCAATACAAAGATAGCTTGTGTTACGGTAATCTGTCTCTTTCACACTCGTGTCTGAACAAGCAAAAAAGTGGAGACAGAACTTCATTGTTTATTGTTATGTGGAATATCGTTGAATTTGGCGTGTTCTGTTTCTTCAACAGGACTGAATTTGTTGGTGTTAATTGATTATTGTTGAAAATATTTGTGATTCCGAATTACTAAACAATGGTTATTTATATTGTGTTACTTTCGGATGCAAAACAAACAAGACAAATAGAAATTGTCCTCCATGGGAAAATACTAGAAAAACTATACTAATTAATATTCAGGATGTTCATAACTTGGATTCTAAGGACAATGTTCTTCATATGGACATTGATTTGCTTACAACTTCCAGCTTCCATGTAAGTTTCGAAGTTTATCGATAATGAAACCCACAAACTGTTTCATTCGAGAAGGCCTGATATTCTTCTGCAGAGAAAAGTGAAAACACTGAAACAAAAAGTAAAAAGGAGAATGACAATCTTCGATGAGGCACTAAAAACATTTTGAAAGTAAAAACTACAAGTTCAAATTTTCAAACTCAAGAGCTACATCATAATATTGTCTTTTCAGATTTGCCTTCGGAACTTCTCCTCCTCCAGAAAAGAAAAAATGATGGTGTACATTTTGGGCGACGTATTGATATTCATCTTTATATAATAAAGGAAATGGTCCTGACATTGTACTTTTATTAACTTTTTATTCACCTTCTAAATATTGAAATGTTTATTGAAAAATGGGTACTCTCAAAAATGAGGCTTAAATAGACCTTAGGTACTGTTCTCAAACCTTTTCTATCGTTCTTCTATTTCTTCTGATAGTGCTGAGGCATTGAGCTTCACTCACCCTATATATATTATGACATTTGAATGAGAATATATAATTTCAATTCTGTATCCATTTGCCTTCCTAATCCTGTAAGAATGAGAATGGAATTTCACTTTTGAGTCAATAAAAAAATCAATGAATATTTCAAATAATGCGAGCGCTCCCCATTATAGCCAACATAAGATAGAAAGAGATAGGTATCCGTAACCACTGCGAGTTGCCTGAACAATATTTCTGCCTCAGTCGTCGTTCACAGAGGATCCCTTCCTGATGTACATATTGAGTTCATTATGAATTCTGAAAACAATCAGGATGTTTGTTCCTCCTGTTTCTAATTATGGGGTACATCCCAGCTGGGTGATAATGTATAAATATTCCTCCTAGACGCTGGGTTAAATGAAGCGCGTTTTTGAAAGTTGGATCTCAACAAGCTGAGGCGTCCTTTGAATAAGCAAAATAGCGTAGGTATACCAGAAAATAAAATAATTCAATGAATATATTTGCTCGAGAACCGCTCATGGGAATATTGAACAATATCCAGTTAAGATTGGATAAGAAAAAAACTTACAATGAAACAGGATGAGGCTATTCCATCATTTTAAACCACGAAGATGAAGTCTACTTTCAGTATATTCGGGAGTGAACATTCGATGAAAATAATTTCAACCAACTCGGCATCACCGAAATGAACCCCATATATCTAATTCCAGAAATGTATCTGCAATGGTTTCAGAAGAACATGTGGAGGGAATTTTCTGTGAATAACCCTGTGTACGTTTATAAATTTCTTATCATTTCTTAGCATAAATAACTATGAGACTATATTTGGATCCAATGAATTTTTCTCCATGTTCATCATAATCTGCATAGTAACCTCCTTTTTTCAATGCATAGTCCACGAAATCCCGTTTATAGTCTTCAACTTCTTCCTTGGGTATGTCCTTCAGCATTGGATTCACTGAATATAATAAATCTGCAAAATGAGAAAGTAGTCGCTGAAAATTGAGTAGGATTGTCAACGGCCGGAGATATCCCAATACGCATGACAAATTGTCGAATATCATCTTCTTCATAATCAATTCTATCGAGAGTACCTTTTATTTTGACTATTTGATGAGACCATTTTAACGGGGTCCCGCTGATTTGATAATAACATTGTTGATTGAATTATACAAAGGTTGAGTAACCTGAACCTCTTCAGTACGAAGTTTTTCAATCTGGAAAAATGTAAGACCGTTTCTGAAATATTTGGAAAGAACTGCAAATCACTGATTTCGTTTTCATTAGAGAAGAAATTCCGTGTAAAGAGCTAATTATGCATTTGAAAGAAGCTGGGATTGTCAAAAATATTCTAACCTCATTATTTTCAGGTATTTAATATGCGATTTTTGTCTTTCTTATGAGCGGCATATTTGTTTTCTATACGATAAGATAGAGCTGAAAATTCTGTTGATACCCATGTATAACATATTGACATTTTCCTATGAAACAGCGCCAAAAAAATAGTAAAAACCTTTTCGAATATGGTAGGTAATGGTAATAGGAAAACCAAATATCAGTCGTCATGCATGACTACAAGAATCAATACTTCTTCATAGCCATGTATAACACGCTACAACGCTACATTATTATGCAAAAAGAAGGCAAAGGCTCAGAAAAACGAAAAAACCAAGAATACACATTTTTCGTTGATCGAGATATGTTTACCTAAAATTGAGAACCATATATCTGATGATGAATTCTGATATAAAACTCAATATTTGAGGATAAGTGAATTTATTAACAAACCCATCAAATATTTAAGAACGATTCAATGAATGTTGATGAATAGTTGATATTATGATGATAACTTTACCTCTCCCATAGATCTAAATCTCCAATATAGTAAACGTAAACTTCGAAATGTGGTTAAAAATTTCGGACATCGAACTAATAAGTTAGACTCGGCATTTTAGAGTTCTCTATAATATTATGGTAATTTCAACTAAAAATCATTTATCAACATTTTACCATGTAATATTATGTAGGTATAAGTTGTTACTATACGTTAGATCTTACATTTCATCACAAACAACTATCATTTTCAACTAAATCATCTAAGAGTTGCTGAAATTCCCTAGCTACGTCTTCTTATCTTCAATGCAGGATATAAAATCTTCTTACCGAATACCTCTTTTGCTTCAATTAATATCCAGGATTTTTTTCTCGAACACGAATGTTTAAAAAATTCTCCTTCGTCTTTGACTCGGAAAAATGTTCAAAATATTCGTGTTCTCAAAATAATTTCTGCAAATAATTGAAGCTCTCTTGATATTATAAGTGGAAATTATGTGATATTGTCGCGGACGCCACTGCCTATGCCACTGCCACGCGAACGCCACTGCCTATGCCACACGACTTTGCCTAGAACCAGCGACGACGTCTATGCTGACTTAGCACCGGCGTACGGGGTACGGAGGGGTGCCATGATTATGTTACTTGTAAACTTATGTAAAACATGATGTTAGAAATGTACTTCACTTGTTAATTTACCATCTGACAGACAAGTCAATTAAAACTGAATCAAGAATTCTGGCATTTATCTAGACAACACCCTGTATTATTGAGCTCCCCCAAAAGTAGGCGTGACAAATTGGTGGAAGCGCCGACAGTTCCGTGTAAATCAAAGTGAAAATTAACTAAATTTAACGTTCGGACTTTGAATCGAAAACTGTGAGAAGTGATTGATGTTAACCAGGCTCAAGACCAGAAGCATCCAGGAAAAATCCGAGGAAGAACAGCGAAATACAGTGAACGAAACCACATCAGACTCGGAAGGAAGTTCAGATTCTTCAATTTATTCGCAGACTAGAGAAGAAGAGGATCGTGAGCAAGAAACTCCAGACATGCCAGACACTCCGGAAGAAGTCTACACCTCGGTGAACCCGAAAGTATTTGCCGGTAAGCCACATGAGAGTGTACAGGAATTTTTGAAAAATTTCAAGCGAGCTGCTAGGGCAAATAGGTGGTCGGATGAAACCAAACTGCTCCAACTACCCTGCTATTTGGAAGGACCAGCTTTAGAATTTTTCGAGACTTTCGAGGAAACTTGTACGACTTTCCAAGAAGCATCTGAAAAGCTAGCTACAACGTTTGAAAATGTAACGGAAACGGAACAATGCTATTTTAAGCTACTGAACAGGAAGCAGCAACCAGGAGAAGACATCTGGTTATACTTCAACGAGATCACCAAACTTTGCTATAAAGTTAATGGTGCGATGACGGACAACGAGAAGATTGGATTTATCTTGAGGGGCCTTAGACCAAGCATACTGGAGAAGGTGAACTTAATGGATAATAATACCATGGTCAAGTTCCGGGAAAATTTGAAGAAGATTGAAGTAACGCAGTTTATGGTTGGAGCCAGCGATGGACCATCAGCGAGCAGGACACCCACATTACGAAACGAGAGCCAGGACCATCGCAACAGGACAAGGGCGGAGCAGGAAGTAGAGGACCTCAGGAGACGGATTCAAAAACTAGAGGGAAACCGTCAGCAAAACAGGTCAGTTTCGCACCAATTTTATAGAAATAATAACAACGGGTTCAGAAATAGTTATGATCAGTCAAAAATCAAGAAAGAACCACGCACGCCAGAGGGGCGCATTGTGTGCTTCAAATGTAACAGAACAAGGCATTATGCTCGAAATTGTCCAAAAAACTAGTGGTCCAGCCACTAAATTCAAATAGTGGCTGTAACCAGAGCAAAATTATTCAAAATTTATTGATCTCATGTTTTTATTGTTATAAAATAGGTCACAAACGAGCGACGTGTCGATTTTTTAAAAGAAACTTGAATTGTTGTGAAGTTTATCATCTAAAAACTAACTATTCCGAACCTATTGAAATTATTGGTCAAATCTGTCATCATGAAATTTCATTTATTTGCGATACTGGTGCAGGGCTGAGTTTGATTGACTCTATTTTTCTTCCAAAAAATTGTAAGCTCGAAAATGTGAAAATGTTAGGGTAAAGTCTGCGAGTGGTGATTGTCTTTGGGTGATTGGTAGAATAGATTTGAAATTTAAATTAGAAACTGTGTGGGTAACTCATAATTTTGTAGTTGTGAAAAATTTTGGGAAACGATTTTAATGCAAAATTTAGCGCTGAGATAAATTTCTTGACAGGCTCTATCAAATTAATGATCAAAAACAAAGTATTCAATTTCAAGTTTGCTAATAGTAACGAGTGTTTCGATGTTACGCCTACGCAGGACGATAAAATACGATCCACTGATCGAGTTACGATGCCGCCTTTAAGCACGACAAAAATAATGGTTAATTTTGATGAAAACGTTGGTAGATTTGAGCTGTGTTCAAATTATTTCACGAATAGGGGTTTGTTAGTAGCCAAAGTTGATCTAGATGATTTTTGTATGTTTATCACGAATAATACAGCTGTTGACATAACCATTTATGAAGGCACGTGTCTAGGTATTGCCAATGAACAAGGTAAAAGTAAAGTATTCCCTGAAATTGAAGTAAATCAAGTCAATAATGTTCAGGAAGTCAGTTATAATGTTTTTCCTTGCTTTTTGCAAGATGATGTAGTACAAAGTGAAGTTAATTCTGTTGTTCTTTCGGATCGTGATGTTTTTTATACAGATTTGTCAATGTGAATTTGGTAACTTTTAACTATAACTGTGCCCCCCAGGAAACAACGAAAATGTCACCTTTTTTATTAGTTCACGGTAGAGAGCCTAGACTCCCCATAGACGTAGCACTAGGGGTAGGAGATACAGGAGAAGAAGAAGTAAAACAAATCTTAGGTCGTATAAAAAACACACGTGAAGAAGTTTTGGAAAGAATTCAAAAAGAACAACAAAGACAGAAAGACTGGTATGATAAAAGTCATAGGTATGTAGAGTATAAAGTTGGAGATAAAGTAATGGTTTATACGCCTGTCCGAAAGGTAGGCAAGTCCACGAAATTATTGCATAGGTGGTTTGGACCCTATCCGGTAGTAGAAAAAGTGAATGACGTCAACTATAAGTTACGAGTAAAGAAAAACAATAAATTTATTGAGGACACAGTTCATGTGGATCGCATGAAAAATTTCCATGAACGCAAAACCGTTAGGTAATAGCTTACTCAGTAAATTTAACATCGCGCGAAAGAAATGCGAAAAGTTTCGAAACAACAAAACATCTAAGCATGCAAAACATCGAAGTTAGTGAACTTAATAATTGCATAGTATGCAATTAAGCAATTTAGTAGAATTCTAAAACAATGTGAAGTTTTCCTATCGATAATCATTTCAAATACAAACACCTGTTCAGTCAAGCATAAGAAAAAAAGTAAAGTACCATAGTCAAGATGTCAAATCATACAGTCATAGTCGTATCAGTCGCGGTAATGATTATTAGTTTTGGCGAGGTACACTCGAAAGAAATCAGCATCGTATCAGGAGCATACTGGTCTAAACTTTCCAATGTACTGATTTATCAGTCCTCAGTTCCATTGGTATATTCAGCAGAATTTCCTTTAATGTCAGAATCGTCTTCCAAATTGTATCCGGATAATAAGGAATGCCCAATGAATACATACGAGGGAGAGGTGATGTGTTCAAGAGCCAATCTAGTGCATTTTTTGGGTGAACAGTTTTCGCAACATCTGAAAGCCATACAATTCAGTCTAGGGGAAGAAGCCGCTAATTTACCATTAGCACGTCACAACCGGAAGTCAAGAGCGCTTGACTCTTGGAGATGCGTTGAATTGGTGTTGTTCTGTGGCAACACAACACTCTATAGATCCGTTATTTGCCGATGAAGAAAAAGTTAAGAAAGTTGTAAGTAATTTGGGTTTGTCTGTGAACGAAAATCACGCAGAGTTAGTAGTTGTCATAAATTCTATAAAAAAGTATAGTTCTCAAATGGCATCATTGTTATCAAAGTCAAATAGGGCATCAAAACAAATTTCAGATTTGATGCAAGGA